GGAGGCGGTGGCGGCAGGCACATATTACATTCGTATGCTGTTGCGATCCTCAAGTTGCTCCCAGCGCAGCATTCACATAAAAATTTACAGCGGGCTTGACTGGCATCAAGTGGCAGGCGCCGGCGTGCTCAATCTGATATACTACTAGCAAAGGTGAACATGTGCAGGAAGGGGTTGGAGCAACGTGCATGTGGCATGGTGCAAACGTCAGAAAGGTTTCTGGGGCTGGGTTAAGGTCCTCTGCTGTCGCCGCCCAGTCGAGCGCGCCCACGACCTGAACATAGTGGGGCACAGCACTCGCAAGATCTGGGCGCCCACGTCGGCATGCCGCGTCCACCTCCACAGGAAAAGCGGTGCAAGAGTGGACGGGAGGAGTGAGGCAGGAGTGCTGCAGAGGAATGGAGTGAGGTCAGGATTAACAACACAAGAGATGGGCAGTTGGCAGTGGTCGGCCCGGCGATGCTGTGGGCGGGCAGGCAGGCGCGGCAGGCGGGTGGGACGGGGGCAGGCAAAGAGGCAGCCAGTGGGAAACAGGAGCAGGTCAAAGCCCCTTGCTCTCCCCTTTCCTGCACCGCACCTGCACACTCAGCTCCAGGGGATAGCGATCTCCATGATCAGCGCAGGTAGACCACAAAAAAGCAGGAAGCCATACTTGAAGCAGAAGCAGAGCTCCATAAACTTAAAAAGCAGAGCCATTAAAACCACCCAAAAACCCGTCGCCACACAAAGCAGGAGCCAAAACACAGTGAACCGTCCACAGCGAAGCAGCAGGGGTGGCCAGCTCGTCAGCGGTGGGATGCGCCAGCGGCTGCCACCGCGGGCGTTGGGCGTGTCTTCGCCCACCACCTGAGCCTGCACCGGCGGCGGCTCTGGCGGAGGCGACTGCGGGGACTGCTGCATCGGCGGGTCTTCAGGGCTCGCCCCCGCAACAGCGATGCGCCACATGGTCCTCTTGGGTGGCAGTCATCCAGGTCGAAGTCATCCAGGAACAGACCGAACAATATAGGGCTCAAGGGGCAGCCCTGCTTCACCCCTGAGGTGGCCTGAAATGTGGGTGTGTACCCACCAGGCACCCGCACGCACATGGGAACCGTCGCATAAAGGGCCTGCACCGCCCGCAGCGCCCAGCCACCCAGGCCGGCGCTCTCCAGCTTCTGCCACAGCAGATGCCGCGGGACCCTATCAAAGGCCTGCTTGAAGTCCACATAGCAGGCATACAACGGCTGCCCACGCGCCCGCTGCCGCTCAATGATGGCTCGCAGTGCAAGCTGCTGGTCACGGCAACCGTACCCTGGCCGGAACCCCGCCTGGCCAGATGCCCGAATGCCCGCCGCCTCAGTGTGGGTTGTAAACCTGCTCTGAAGCATGCTGGCAAACAGCTTGGCCGGCAGTGTGCCCACGGCAATGCCGCGGTAGCCGTCACAGCGCAGGTGGTCCGCACCAGGCTTGCGGAT